TCCAGAAATTGATGGCATTTTTATATACCAATAATGAACTCTCAGAAAGAGAAACTAAAAAAAATCCCATTTACCACTGCAACTAAGAAAATAAGATACCTAGGAATAAACCTAACCAAGGAGATAAAAGATCTATATTTGGAAAACTATAGGACATTGAAAAAAGAAACAGAGGAAGATACAAACAAGTGGAGGCATATACTGTGTTCATGGATTGGAAAATTAACATCATTAAAATGTCCATACTACCCAAAGCAATCTATGGATTCAATGCAATCCCTATTAAAATATCAAGGGGATATTTCACAGATCTAGAACAAATATTCCAAAAATTTATATGGAACCAAAAAAGACCTCAAATAGCTGCAGCAATCTTGAAAAAGAAGAACAAAATTGGAGAGATGACAATACAGGATACCAAACTATACTACAAAGCCATTGTAATCAAAACAGTCTAGTACTGGCACAAGAACAGGCATATAGATCAGTGGAACAGAACAGAGATCCCAGAAATTGACCCTTGCTATTATGATCAATTAATATTTGACAAAGTATCATTTATTTTTACACAATAATCACTATTCTAAATGCAAACCTTTATATAAATCAATCTTTTCCTCTCGTCGCCAACTTCCCATAACATATACATGAAATTAATCTTTGGAGAGCAGAGATTTTATCTCCTTGTTCACAATGACTATGCATTTATTTTGGCAAGATTTTAATAAAAATTTTGGCTAATAGTTTTGATGAAGAGAAAATGTATTTATAAAGATGATTATATATACACAGCTACAGCTATTATTTAGTAGGGTTGGTGAAAATTAGTTTAATGGAAATTCTTTAATTTCTGCCTTTTGACATTTCCTCACTAGTCTATTATCCCCTCTGAATACCATAGAAAGTCTTGCCAAGTAGTGATGGGGGGAGATGGTCCCTGTTAGGAATCCAGTTCCTTCACATAATGCTAACTATTCATCCTGTGTCAAGCTTTTTATAATTAAACCCCAACTATCTTTCATACTTTTTACCCCATTAATCCTCTCCCCAAACTGTTGGTTAATCCTCTCCCTCCAAACATGTCTTGTCCTTTCTTACCTCCATGGTTTTTTCCCTATGCCATTCGCTTTGCCTGAAATGCCTTACCTTCCTATTTTTAGCTAATCAAATCCTAGCCAGTCTTCTAAATTCAGCTCACAGGGACCACTCTCTCCCACTCTCTTCTGACCTCAGTCTTGCCAACATCACAATCATTCATGTATTGCTACTTTAAGATGTTATTTTTTATTTTATGTTACTTATTTCATAACTTCATTTTTTCCCAACTGAAAGATAAGTTCTTTGAGAACAGGAGCCACATGTTAAAATTGAGTATAATCTTTTGCACACAGTTGATATTTGTTGGTTGGCTAGAATACATGAGACATTATGACAGAAAATTTTAAAGTACTACTTCATCACAAATAGCAATTAGCACAACTGGACTAACTTCTTTCAATATTAAAGCAGAAGGCATTTCTGAAATCTCAAGATGAATTAAACTACTGGCATAGCTTCTTCCCCTACAGAGGATGATGTCATTATAAAAAAAATTTGAACAAAAAATAGGATTATACAAATAAACTATCTCAATTTAAGCAGGCACTTATTACAACCAGCTATATTAAGTAATAATAGTGTTTGTACTATAGCTAACAACTTACTGAACAAATTATTCATTGTGTCCCTAATGTGTACAAGGAACCACACTAAGATCTGATGGGAGAGGAGATGAATAAAAGGCTGACCAAATCCTCAACATTCAATACTGTATTTAATGGAAGAGACAGACTTCAAAACTTTTTACAAAACAAGTTAAATAAGCAATACAATGTAGCTAACCTACTGAGTGCTGTGTGTGTAATCTGAGTTGGTAGGGCTCAGAAACCATCTATCCAAAAAAAGGGAAAAAAGGGAAAAGAGCATTTGAACAATGCCTTAAGAAATAATTGAGACTTTGTACTCCAAGATGGCAGATGGGGTTTTGGGGTATATGATCAGAAAAAGCAAGTTACAGATATGAAAATATGCCCTCACCCCAGTTTAGCTCGTCAGTTAGTGATCTAATTTGGTACTTTATGAGAAAAATAAAACGCCATTCCTCTCCTACATCTCAAAACTGTCTCTACCTTTCCCTCCTATCTCAAAAGTCTCCCCACTACTTCCCAAAACTAAATTCTTCAAATTGTTCTGGAACCTCTTGCTACTTGTCCACTATCATATCTTGTTCCAGTGCTCCAGAGCAATGTTCCATCGCTCTTCTTCCTTCTGCGGCCAAATTTTCGAAAGAACGGTCTATATTTATCTCTACTTCCTAATTCACTACTCAGTTACATAATGTTAACTGTCTCTTAAATCTTTTTTATTCAGTAATATAAAATGAAATAAGGATACACTTTCTGATTTCCTCCTTTTTTTGTTTTAAAATAAGTTAACCAGTATTTCTTTTTAAAATTTATTTGTTATTTTCAGGAAACAGAGAATATATAGTCTCTAAATAGATTTCTCATGTCCAGAAAGTAAACTATTAAACAGCTGAAACTCTGTGCAAGTATTTTTAGTAAAGAAACTGTTATTGTAGTTATCAAGGAGAATTCTGAACCTTAAACATGCTGTTCTCTCAATGTATCTTTCCAAAACTCAGAGCTCTTTTAAAATTCTTCAGATGAGAATAGGTAGGGTATACAATTCATCATCTTTTCTTAAAAGAGGTACTTTTAGGAAATTATTTCATACAAGCTGGGCCCTTAATCTTTTTTGGAAGACCGGGGTTAAGATAAGGTTTGATATCCCAACACTGTACTGACACACCAAGAAAAGCATCTCAGTCCAGCCTCTGATTCATGTTTGGTTCTCCAGCTATTTCATTTACTAAAGAAATAATGCCTAATGTCCTGGCAGTTGTAGCTCAGAGGTTAGAGCATTGGCCTGCACACAAAAGGGTAGAGGCCTCAAAACCCAGTCAAGGGCACGTACCTGGGTTGCAGCTTCGATCCCTGGCCCTGGTCAGGAGGAGTGTGGGAAAGAACTGATGGATGTTTCTGTTTCTCTCTCTCTCCCCACCCCTACTCCCTCTAAAAAATATAAATAAATAAATAAATAAATAAATAAATAAATAAATAAATAAATAAATAAATTCCTCAGGGGAGACTTAACAAAGGAAAAAAGAAAAAAGAATGGCTAAGATGGTGTCTCCTCTTACACACAGTACACAGCGAGAACTCTAAAACTTATTTTGTTTACCTTTCTTGCCTTCAAAACCAAATTTAGCAGCGCCCATTAACCACTTACATTGATTTCAAAAATGCCGAGAATCACCCATACGTTATATACAGATAAGTCTTTTCATGAACAGTGAGTGTTATACATGCTATTCCATGAACTGTCAGGCAATATATGGATCTTAGTTCACCCTTTCAGATTTCCCTTGTAATAAACACTTTAGTTTATTAAGCAATCCAATTATCTCCCCTTTATCTTTTAAAAATAGATTTATCCCCGTCTCACCCACACCCTACTCTTTTAAATGGCTCTTCTTAATGTAGAAAAGATCTGCACCATGAATTTCTCTTCTGTTCTCCTAAGGAAAAGAACTTACAGAGCGACCAAATGCACTGAATATTATAGAAATCCCATAAATATTTATCAATAGGCTAATTTATATTTAACAATATTAAGGTCACCAAACAAATGTTCTGCCTAAGGAACAAACAGAAAATTTCAGGTCCACCTCTTTAGACTCCTTGTAGGAGTCAGGCCACGACTACAAATGGAGACCTACATTTCACATGTCTAAATATTCAAAAGTTATAAATCAAGTTAAACTATTAAATAAAATATGGTCTCTTCCTCCAATCTTGACAAATATACTTTCCACCACTTAGAGGTACACATACAAACTTAGAATTTTTAGAGTGTTTGAAGTTCCACACCATGGTGTGGTAACATGGGAGGGCTAGCCCACACCCTTCTCTTCACATTCCCCAGTTCAGTCAACAACTTGAGGGGTCTTGTTCACATGTGTGGACATCTTACCCACCTCAAATCTTAGCCACCCTTCAGGCTAAGGATACTAGTTTTATCTAGTACCCAGAGCACGGGCGTAGGCAGAATAAGGGCTTAAGATGGGCGCACCTTCTTGGCCCTTCAGATCCTTCACCCTGTGGTAAAGTGTGTCCAGAGTAGAGTCATCTAATTCATGGGTCCCAAAGCAGGGCCTCTCTTGCCCAGAACTAAAGGTAAGACATACTGGATAATTTACCAAAGTGGAGGATTTACCAGATCAGTTTGTTACTAGTTAATATACTAGTTGAAAGCAAATATGTAAAAAGATTAAGTAGTAAAATCTGAGATTCCAATCTCTAATAACTTCAGTTCCCTCAATATCTACAATCGACGGGTCTACTCTTCAGACTAAGTGTAGATTCTGTGTGTTTTTTTTACAAATTCATACAAATTTACAAAATTCTGTTCACGTGCTACAGGGAGTTAGGACAACGAGGGACAGAAGAATGAGGGGAAAGAGAAGACCACAGAGTATCAAAGACAAGATCAGATATGCAGTCTAAAAGAAGTCATTTCCTTTGTGTTCTGTCACTTGTGTGGGGAAGCATATGACACCATGATTAACCATCGGATCAAAGCCACTAGTATCACAGCTTGTTCCCACTAACACAGAGATTCATGTAGTTCACTTGTAGGCCTCAGAATGCCCCTATTCACTGTGTACATTGTAAGTCAAGCTGAACCTTATCAGCATTAAATTGAGACTGATGACAGCTCTCCCTATACCTCACCATAATTTGCTGCACTGCAATGTGTAATTTACTTAGCAAGAAAATTCACTTGTTAATTTGAAAAAAAACCCAAAAACTAATAAATAATTCTCACCACAATACATATATACATGCTCCATAGGAAGGGAATTACTTCAACTGGAAATCTTATTTATGTGTACTTACTGAGATTGTACCATTGTCTAGACCTACGGACAGTCTTCTTGTTTCCGGGTTAAAAGACATGCATGAACATGGAGCTGAAAGAAATGAACATGTTGATGAAATTAACAAAACAATGATTCTCATCAATTCAGGAGTGACAAGCTAAAAGTGTGTGGCTATTTTTTTTTTTTTGCCACTATTTCCTGAATAACAGTTCATTTAACTCCCACTCATCAAAAATGGAAACAGTAAATTTACAGCCACCCTAGTTTTTCAGTTATTCTTTTAATCAATATAATAAAAAAGTTGTTCTCAAACTGGACAAGTTCCAATGGGCTTAGTCTCAGCTCTCCTGTCAGTATCAAGTCTAAGTTTGCTTGACTAGGTTAATAATATTTTGTGCTGCGTAACCCTTCTGTCACCAACCTATGAATCTCTTCCACTCAAACCTCAACTTTAATAGAAATAACCTATCTTTTCTGAACTAGGAAAACAAAAGAAAGATCTAATTATCCCCCCTACTAGTACAGAAATCTATTTTTTGAATCATAATTGATTTTGGGTATGAAGAGTTAACAGGAATCTTTTATTCTCCGTGTTCAGGGGGTATGCTAGAAGCTGCTAATTGAAAAAGACTGAGAATTTGTCTCAATCTAAAAGAGAACCAACTTGACACAGGTCCAGGCTCTACAGGAAAGAAATCAGGTGAATCAGTACACTCTGTCCTGGACAGGGCCTCCCAGTTCTGCAAGACTGACCTCAGCCTAAGTAAATTAAGCATGTTTGGAAGCCATATGTGGCCATGAAGTGCTTGCTAAAAGGTCAGCTTCCAGGTGCCTGCCTTCTCTACCTATGCTTGCTTGTAAGAATTGAGGCCTTTTGACAATTTGTCCTATACTGAAATAGTTGTTCTAAAGAGTCCTACACAATTTTTAAAAATCCCCACCCCCAATCTTCACAGTAGCCCTGTAGATCATGAACTATTTATTTATCATCATAATCATAACTGGCATCAGATATTTTTATTCCTACTTTTCACTTGTGATTAGATGTCTTACCCAAGGTCACACAGGAAGAAAAAGTTGGAGAAAGTTCAAAGACATAACTCAAACACAGTCCTATTTCCAAACATCCAACTTAGATTATCTTTAAACTATAAAAGAACTTCAAGTTCTACTAACAGAGCCATTTCATAAACACATCAATTAGTAATATTTTTTCATTCTCTATAAAAGGGCCCTGATCAACAGCCAAAAAAATCTTCTAAACTACATAATCGCTTTCTTCTAATTTTCAATCATGATACATTTAAAAAATTAAACATACATATATTAATCCCCCCCCCCCAAAAAAAAAACTTCTACAAGTACAGCAGAATATCTTCTTTCAGTTTAGCCACAAAATTAAACTAGAGTCCCAAGAGAACACTGCTGGAGAAAAGTAATCAAATGATATTTAATGCACTGCCCTAAAAAAGTCTTACTTGCCCTTGGCCTATACACTATGTTGGAAAATTTCTACACACATGCTTAGATGCCAGGTCTCATAATCCCATAACATGGGTAAAATTAAAATCTAATGATTTCCTGGGAAATTATCATATTAGCCAAAACAAACAAAAACACATTTTGATTACAACTACATAAACTACAGACACACATAAAAATATACATGGAAAATATAGCTGTGTGCAAGTAATAAGATTACTTCTATAACATTGTCTTTATTTTGTTCTTTGCTATGCCTGTTATAATTTTAAAATATCTAATGATTTATTAAATATAAGCATGATAATATAAAGCAAAATTTGACGGTAGCCCAAAAGACTATGGACTGGTCAAGAATAACCCTTATCACCACTTAGCTGTCTGCCTAACTATGTAAAAGTATTTTCCATTTAATTCTCTCTGAAGTTCATATCTAGTTATATAAGTTAGAAAACCCACTGATCTTTGAATACTATTTAAAAGACGTTTTCATAACATTGTACAGGCTACCCTTAAATCTACCTTGCTATTTCTTTATTCATTGTTTTTCCCCCAATTACTAAATTTCTTGTTATTCTGTCAAATTTAGAATGCTTACTATGTTTTAGGCATGTGATACAATGATGTATAAGGTTCCATAGCTGTCATCAAGGAATTTATAGATTGTGACAAAAATTACATAAGAACTATAAGACTTGTCCCCAACATCATCTCCTTAGTTCAAATCACCTTATACTGACAGTAAGAAATACCACCAGAATTCAAAAGGAAAAGACCTTTCCTACAAAGAACCATAAAAAAAAATTTTAATAGAAATTCTGTTGTTCTAGACCCATTTACTTGAACACAAGATGGTCATAGACAGTGAATGCCAGAGCCAGAGGGCAATACCTCCCAGATACTGCCCCAAAGTGGCAAACACCTCTTCAAAGAGGCATCATGGTAAAGCATCAAGCAAACCTGTGTGTGTGTGTGCGCGTGTGTGTGCACACACATATGTGTGTCTATGTATGTGTATGTGTGTAGAGAGAAAGACTTTTGGTGTGTGAGCCTTATGACACTCCTCAAACCATTTCCCAACTGTGACACTCCATAGGAATAGATCCTGGGTTGGTTGCCAGTAGACCGTGTAAGGCCAAAGAAGCAGGGAATGATTGAAAAAAATATGTATGCCTCTATTTGTTGTTATAGTAAATGTCTTTCCTTTTGGGGGTTGAGGGAGTATAAAGATCGACATAGAGATCCTTCTAACTTCAACTCACCAGAAATTATCAAAAAAAAAAACAGCCTCTGAATGACTTGGGCTATGGCCCTTACAAAATGGGCTCAACTTTTGGAGGAAGGATAATAAGAAACAGTAAAGTAATGTTAATTTTAGCCAAATGGTAAAGGGAATCCTTTGGCAGGAAGAATAAGGGAACAAACAAACAAAATATGATGTAAGCACAATATCTGTAGCTAGGTTACAAAAATGTGATATTTCATAAATAATAGTTCAGATTTCAGTGCTATAAAACTAGGAATCATAAGTCAATACAAAATAATGGTCTCTCTGATGACTGAAAGTTCATCAGAGATGAAGGGGCTGAGAGATGATTCTATTCTCCTACCTTAAAATCGCATTTTCCAGAGGCAGAGCAAAGTGGCCGACCATAACTATAAAATTACAATACAGCTCCCCTCTATGACTATCAAAACTGTGTCCCTGAACTTGAGTTGAAATAAATACAGCATTACAGCATGATACAAAACCTGAAGATGTATTTATTTCCTCCACCTTTAACTGTTTACCCATGAGAAAGGATAACCACTAGAGTAATCTTTAGAGTGGGACCCTCATTTGCCATGGACTCTCATACATATCATGTGTGAAAATTTATGGAGCCTGTAACCTGGACAGAAATCTGGAGGGCCTGTGGGAAGAGATCTCATACCCTATGTCAGTAGGAAAGTCCTACAGAAAGAAATCTATGTTTACAACAGAACTCTATGGTTTAACGGGCCCTCCCTTAACTTCCTCTTCCCCTCAGTAAGAAAGGGGATTCCCACTCCTTCCACTGTGTGTACGTGGCTCACCATGGCTGCATGTACTGATTGCAATCCTTTCTTTTTCCTGAATTAAAGTATATCCTTTTTGGTGATAGAATACCTGGTTGGTTTCTGTTTACAATTTATACATGCTATATGTAGTTTGCCTGAGACTGCTCCCATGACTCACTAATAACTGAAATGTAAGGCCTTGTCACAAGTCTTGTTGATGTCATATCCTATTTTTTCACAGCTTCTTATTTTCTCCCCAATGTTTTTATTGAAATCTAGGAAAAAACTGACTACAATATCTTGATAAAATAGTACAAGAACTCCTTTTCCATGCTATCTGATTAAGATTTGTCATCTCCCTTCTCTGTCTCACACTGATGACAGTCAAAACAGTATAACTGGCAAAATTTTAGGATAGTGAAAGGTAAAAATAAGATAGAAAAGAAATTTGAACAGGCCTATTTGCAATAGGAAATAATATTCTCTTACTTTAGACCTTGATGGCCTGCCAAAATCTTACCTTTAAAATTAAACACTTCCATAATACTGTGTGTTTTTTAAAAGTGAAATCTTTGTAGTTTCAGGTAGGTATTCAGTTTAAAGTTTCGGAAAAAATAAAATGAGGTGAAACTCCAGCTTGGGCAATTATATTACTGACCATGTAATCTGAAGGGGGAAAAGCTCAAGAGATGTGAGTCTTAGAAAAAGGGAACTCAAGGGACCAACATCGACCTCAGCAAAGTCAACTGGATTAGAGAAAAATTGGCCACTTGTATTTCTAATACTTCTACCCCATGGGTGGTCTTAAAAAAATATTGCACTTGCTTTTGTCCCCCCTAATTTATAATACTTATACCTGTAATTCTTTCATTTTATGACTTATTTTCTGTCCTTTCCTGATCAGCTGAACTTTGCTCACATCAACAGAAGCTTCACTGAAGGGTAAGCCATGGGTTACAATCACAATGACTACTTTATAGTGCTAAAAGCATTATTTGGCAAGAAACACTAATCTTCATAGAATGTTCTGGTGGGAAGTTTAAACTAAATAAACAACGGTAGTTCCATGAATAAAACTTCCGTTGTTAAAGGCATCCCGGTAAAGTCAAATGTCAAGATCCTAAGTTAAAAGGGCCTTGAACACAGAGCCTTCAAGGAGCACCCCACCAACACAAAGCAAAGATTTAACTTACTGATGTTATTTCATTCAGCCCTGTTTGTCACAAGATAATGTTTATTATGTTTACAATATGCAATCCATGTTTTATTTTATTAAGAACACATGTTTAATTAAGACTTTAATTGCTTATGTTTAAACACATTTTTTCATTTAAATCAAATATTTTATGCACTAAAACAAAATGAACCGTTTGATTTCTTTAAATCTAGTCAGTGACATCAGCAAAATTACAGTGAATTATCAATAGTCACTTTTGCTCCCTGACAAGTTTTAAATTATAGTAAAGTGATGTAATAGCTACAGCAAATTTTAAATTACTGTCAGATGAAAATTAAACAAGAGCATGCTAATTAAATTGTATGATTACTTGTATTAATTAATATTAGTT